TGCGACGCAGCAACGGAAGTTGACTCGTTGTGGTCAACCTCCGTGCCGCGTCAAATCTGCGCCAAGAAATTGTCCGCGACCGTAGTCAATTAGGCCCTAATGCGTCGGTTAAAATTCCCCAGGGCCGAAGCCACAGAGAAGATGGTGAGGCGGTACAGTCCCCCGGAGACCTGATCATCCCCTGTGGACTGAACCATCGCAGCCGCAAGGGGCGAATTAGTGAGGCCCGGTCCTGACGGCACTTGAAACGGACCAAGGGTTAGTGAGATAATCATATTTGAGCGGTTGGGACCGGACCGACGTGACCCCTTAACTTCGTCGGAAGAGGAATAGCCCCAAAACGATCACGTAAATGAATAACCCAGCCCTAGTAATAATTAAGATGGGGTCAAGTGCTATTTTAGACACGGGACTGACTGTTCATTTCCCAAAGTCGGGCATGCACCAGTCCCGTGCTAAAATTAGCGCAGTCCCACGCAATTTTTAGTGTGGGACTGACTGTTCGTCTATCGGGGACTGGGGCGGCACCAGTCCCGTGCTAAAATTAGCACAGTCCCACACTATTTTTAGCATGGGACTGACTGTTCGTCTACCGGGGAGTGGGCCTGCGCCAGTGCTAAAATTAGCACAGTCCCACGCTATTGCAAGGAATATGAGCATGAGCGATATACAGATGTCCAAGTAGTCATGTACGAGCAGAGAGTGCAAATGCACCGAGATTCCATCCAGATAAGAGCATAACAATGAACTCACGAGCCAGTGTCCAAGCCATACTTGCAAGCGGACGCCATCCGGGCGGTTCCACACGTGCAGCAGACCGCCGGACCGGACCCGCACGGCACACGAATGTGCGCCCGATGACAAGTTACGCCCCACCCCCCCCCCCCAAAAAAAAAAATGGCCCCGTCCGGTCCGGTCCGGGTCCGTCGGGTCCGGGGGGAGGGTGCCGCATGCGGCAAAGCCGACCGGACCGGACGCTCGTCCGGTCTGTCTGCTTGCAAGTATGGTCCAAGCCCTCAGACCACACCAACACCTCGCTCCTACTTTGTCTGGCGCCCAGCGCCCAGCCTACGCTACTCGCCTATCCTACTACACCTTGCGTTCACGCAACAGGCTCACTTTGACCTTGAAGACCAATGTACATGATGTCAACACCATAGCTGACCTCACTCATGCACCAGGTATGTCTCTCGTCTCTCCCCATCACCCCTGACTTCCCACCCCTGACTTCCCTCCCCTGACTTCCCACAGTGTGCATTCTCAACACCCAAAGTCCACCATCGCCATCCAGACCTGCGCCCAGCAGCCTGGCTATGGCTCACGCAACAGGCTGACTTTGACCTTGAAGACCAATGTACATGACGTCAACACCATAGCTGACCTTACTCATGCACCAGGTATGTCTCTCGTCTCTCCTCATCATCCCTGACTTCCCACAGTGTGCATTCTCAACACCCAAAGACCACCATCGCCATCCAGACCTGCGCCCAGCAGCCTGGCTATGGCTGCCGTGCGCCCACTGCCCAGCAGTGCACCTCACACCTCAGCGGCCGTGTGCGCTACCCAGCCGGCAGCTGCAACGCAACAGCGTGGGCGCATTGCCTGCCTAGGCCAGAATGACCTCCCCAGCGAGCTCACTTTCCTATATGGAGAGTGAGCTCAGCCTCTGCTGCCTCTGAGCCTGGCTGAGCTAGCATCCAGTAGCTTCCAGTCGGGCCTCAGTGTCTGTGTCCAGACCCAGTTGCAGTTATGGGCCTGTGCTCTTTACAGTTGGGCATGTCCAGGCAGTCCACGCGCCGTGACATGTTCGTTGTGATCTCGTTGGCTCACGGCAACTTTGTGCCGACAATGGTGCAATCTCATTGGTCCGTGGCTGTTGTATGATGTGTCGGCCTCTGAAAGCACACGCCCAGGGCCTTAACTGTACGGGGCCCTGGGCTCAACTGCCAGTCGAGGCTGCAACTTCCAGAAAGAGCCTGGAGAGGCTCACGTTGATCTGTAACCAACTGGCATGCTGCAACTGTCTGATACCCACATATGGAAAAATGTCAAATCTTGGCCTCTTGTGAATATTCAGGCCCGCCTTCACGTAGGGCGGGCACAGGGCTTGCTGAGGGCCTCTGCCCCGAA